AGAGATATAGTGGCAATCCTGGGGATAACACCGACATCTCTGCCTCCCAGACCTGCGTGTGCTTTTGCACCAAGGCAGAGTGTGGCAAGGGACAGCCCTGCGGCAGATCTGATGGGTAACCTCTATTTGTAAATAAAGCTTCATTGAAACACAGGCACATCCCATCTATAGCTGCTTCTGAGCCAGAACAGCCAAGTTGAATAATTGTGACAGAGACCATCTGGCCCACAGAGCCTAAAATATTTACTAACTGGCACTTTACAGAAAAGTGTGTTTCCTCCTGCCCTACCCCACACCCCGTAGGGTCATCACATGGCCCTGTTAATCCAGAGGTCCACCTCTGATAATGCCTCAAGGGGAGATTCGAGACAGAACAGTTTGCTGTTACAACAATTTTAAAATCTGTCATGACTCCAGATGTCCTCTGGGGAGTGACTCATTTGTAACTTGTCTTTAAGTTTCTTTAGTCTCAGCTCACAAAATGACCCAAGCACTCACTCTATCCAAGGACAGTTTGTACTACGTACTTGCATTTCATTTCTCCAGTGAAGAATTATGACTCAAAAAGCATAACTGTTTAAACCATGCACATGATTAATGATTTCACACATCTGAATCCAGTTCCTCCCACACCCAGTCCACACAACAATCGTCCCCGCCTGGTTATTAGTTCATCCATTTTCCCATCCACCATGCATCCCCATGACCTAGTGGCTGATGTTTCACTCAGGACAATTTTATTCTTTTTTGCAAGATGTGAGACTTCCTGGTCCAACTGTATAGGGGATACATCGTATCATTTACCCACAGATTCAAATAGTTTATTTTCAGGGACCCCAGGTACTCTTCCTCAAGGGGAGTGAGGGGAGGGAGGTGGGAATCAAGGAAAGCTAAAGTAGGAAGTAGAAAGGGAAAGAATAAAAACACAGAAAGTGGGGGTGGAATTTTCTTCTGAATCATGTTCTGTGATGCTTCCATTTGTTTCCCCACCAGACTGACAGATTTATGAAAGAGGAGACCATATCTGCTTTGCTTAATATCAGTTACTTAATAAACACATGTTAAAAATGAATAAAGCCAGATTCAAACCTTGCCCAGGATTGAGAAGGATACATTTTGCCTCCAATGCATAGTTTTACGAGCAATTACGACCAGTAACACTTTTTTCTTGAAAAGGAACTCAGGCTGGAATTTAAAACCTGAGTCCTGGTTGCAGGCAGTCTCAGTAGAGGAGAGACCCTGGGCACAGGGGGAGGAAAGGAACACAGAAAAAACAAAAACCAAAAAACCACCATTTCCAACCCTATCTTGAGGCAATGAATATTTCTTTTTCAAATAAATTATCATTTACAGGCACCAGCCTTTCTCAAAACCAAAAATCCAGATACAAAGTCAGTTCTCTTAAATTTAAATTGAATTCCCTTCCTTTGCATTTCCTTCAGAGGTTTTGTTTATTTTTAAAGCACAGGCAAAGTTTTTAAAGAATAAGGCCACACCAGGTCACACTTGCATGCAATGTTAAGTTTGGTGAGACTAAACAATAAAACTCAGTATTTCCTCTTACCTTATATCCAGAGTGCAGTGAAGGGTCCACGTTTTGCTTCCTTGGGATCTTCCATGAGACGCCTCGGCAATCAAGCAGGCAACCATACATGAAATCCACGAAGCAGGAAAACAGGTGATGCTATCACTCAAGTCGCATGGTCAGTTGAGCTACTGGAGCACTCTGAGCACCAGGTGCCATAGGGATGAGATTAAATGAACATGAATCATCAGAGAGCTCCGGCCTGCCATAAATTAACCTGCAGATTGGCCTAGAGTAAACCTTTGCATTGGGCCATTACCTGCCTTTTCTGGGATCAAGTCTAAGTTCACTTTACTTACTAGGATTCCTAATTATCAAAACTAGCTTCAAGCCAAAGCAAATTAGGTCTGTGTCCCACAATTTTAGGGGCACTTCTACTTAGGGCTCATATGTATATATAGGAGAAAAGATAACTATGCTGGATGCTGGAAGCTAAACCTAACCTAAATATTCATCAGTAGGTTGTAGACAAGAACAGTAACCCATGTACATCCAGCAGTATTTTTTTTTTTAAGGAAACTATTTTTTCAGTAGTTTCCAAGTCTGGCTGCCCATCTGGGGACTTTTAACCCTCCCTTCTGATTGAACCAGAATATCCTCAGGTGTGAGTTGTTTTCAACGCTCCTCAAATGCTTTTAACGTGCCTCCTAGGTTGAGAAATAGGATGCTATACATACTAACTTGATTTAAAAAGTGAGTTATTATTGAAGAAAAAGCACAAGTTCAGAACAATATGAATGGTATGATCACAACCAGCTTAACTGTGAGTGTATTTTTCAAAAAGCACAGAAAAAATTGAAATATGGCAAAATGTTTCAAAGGTGGGTTCTTGAGTACACTAGTGCCCATTATGTTACTTTAGAATACATTACATATGATAGGATTATTTCATTGTTTAGAAGAAAATAATATAAAGCTAACAAAAACACTCTAAATTTAATCCTGATACTTCTTGGAAGGGGAATAATGTTTACTTTTTATACTTCAGTATATTCCTTTTTATGATTTTAATTTAACAAAACATTTTCCCTTCTCTCCCTCCCTCTCTGTTTGTCTCTCTCTCCATCTTTAGCTTTCTCTATCTCTCCATCTCTATCTTTCTCTCTCTCTCTCCATCTCTATCTCTCAAGCTAAGGTCCACTTGAGAACAGATAATCTGTGAACATCTTCTACCCTCTAGTCAAAAAGGAGATATTGGATCCTCCTCAGTCCCTTCTGGCTGCCTTGGACTGACAACTTCTAAGTGCGTTTTCACTCTTTTGAGCCTGCTCTGAATGTTGCTGTGACAGCATCTCCCATAGTTAGGGAACTAAGAAGGGAAGGGCAACAGAGAGAAGGGGGCTCAGAGTCATTTTCTTAGGGACAGTCCCTCTCACAGCCTAGTAAAAAGCTCCCAATATAGGGACCACCTTCACACTTGCACTTAACCCTCTCAGTGTTTAGCTTATAATTTTTCATGCTGCTGGCATTAAAGAACTGCAGGGAATTCTATAACTCAGGTAGTGGGAGAAAGAGAAGGGGAGAACTGAGCCTAAGAAAAGACAAGAACAATATCTCAAAAATTTGTTAAGCTACTTGAAGGGGATAAAATGAAGTTGGGCATAAATAAAAGTGTGCATATAAAGTAAGCAAAAAAATTTGATTGAAAACCTTTTTACTCACAATTGGGGTCTACTGGTACCCTGAGCCAATGCTGGTAATAATGTAATCTGACCCAATCTTTTTCAGCAGCAATCTAACATGTAACAAGGGCCTTGCCAATCAAATCCCTTTGATTAGATCAATGGTATTAATAGTGACATTATTGATAAAAGGCAAGATCCAAGCAGGTGAGATCATTTTTTAACTATCTGATCAATAGTGATCCATGGTATTTTCCTAGACTTGGTCTTTGTAAGTATCAGGGAGGACAGCAGAGAGGAAATGGATACAGTTGGAAGCCTGATTCATGGTCAACAGCCAGCATAAGTTTAGGACTTTCTTTCTGATTCTGCTCATCAGGACCTTGGGGTCCTGTCGGCTTTCCCTTTAATTAGGCTGCTGGAAGCACAGTAACATTGTATTTGTTGACTCTTTGGAACCCAAATAGGGTGATGCCTTAGAAGAAAGTTGGACTTCGCTAGTTTCACCAAACTTAGAAATCAGACCTTGGCTCTGTGCTGGGCTAAGAGAGCAACTGAGAGTTAGATCCCTGGGATCTGCATTTTAACAAACCCTTCAAAATTAAAGCTAAAACAATCACAGG